TTGAATCCATCAGCTGTTTGCACTAAAATTCGAGGGATGGAGCCCATGAAAGCATTAAKTCCGTATGAATGGTCTGAAAATAGGGAACTGAGGCTCTTTATGGGCTACTGGAGAACCCCTTGGAAAAATGAGGGCATCAAGCAGTGAGAATTCAGCTTCATTTGTGAAGAACTCATGGGGGCACGGTGACACCGCAGATATTTTTCTCAAAATCCAGTGCTGAAGATTGCAGAGCCATTACAATCACCTGACTGAATGAATAATCATTCCAGCCTTTTTTTCCAGCTAAGAGGACATCACTAGGTTCGGGAGAGCAGCTGGGAAGTTCATTTGGACCAGGCTTTAAGTTTGACAGGTTTTGGGTTTCAAAGGCATTTAAAAAACGCTCCCCCAGCTCACACAAGGAGTCACGCTTTGGTGCCTCCGCCTGAAAGGCAGCGTGGAAGCTAAAAAATCTATTAGCGAGTTTCAATTTACTCAGGATAAATCCTTCCCTGAGGATCGCTCGTGTTCTGTGGAATTTCAGGGTTTGGCACGATAACATTCTGCTCCTATATTAGTCCTTTTTGCAGTTCCTCAGTGTGATCAGGAAAAGTGGCAGCAAAACTCCAGCAGGAGTTTTGCTCTTTTTGGACCAGGAGATGTGTGGAGGGTGCAGAAGGAACAGCAAAGCATCAGAGAGGGAGGCAGAGAGACCCCAAAGGCTGAAAGTGGGGTTTGGACAGCAGGGAAAAGCTGGTGGGAGAGGGGGGCAAAGAAAACCATCTCGGCAGCTGCATTTTGYGTGGCCACTCCTGGATCCTGCAGCTGTTCATTAGAAATTCTGTTTATGCCACAGGGAGTTGTGGAGTCTCTGAAGCTGACACAGTTTTAATAGACAAAGACATTTTGAGTGCAGCACATCTGCTCTGGGATGCTGAGGAAGAGGCTCCATGCAGTAGTGCCATTGGTTGAAGCATTTCATCATGCTTTTTTATTTTTTTTATTTTTTATTTTTTAATTTTGAGGCCTCTCTTTTATCCTAAAAAGTAATTTTTCAGGTCAAAAGAAATGTTTAAGTTTGAAGCCCTTAAACYGAGAGTCCTGCTGAACTCTTCCTAATAATCCCAAATTCCCAGCCCTGAGAATTTGGCAGGATCACCTCTGTTTTGGAAGGATCCTAAAGCGTTTCCCAGAAGTGGCCATCACCAAGGGGTGAAGGGGCAGGAGGTGCTGCTCCAGAGCAGAGCCTTCTTTGCTCAGTGCTGCATTATTAAACATTTGGTGATTGGGTCTTAAATGAATCGATTTCATTTCTAGGCAGGCTCAATCCAACCCTCAGCTGAACTTTTATAACCCCGTGCCTTTTCAAAACCCATCGTGCTCGGTGATTGAATGTGCCTGGTGCAGATGAAAAGTTAATTCCTTCCTTCACCTCCAGCTCTGYGCAGGTTCCTTGGATCCCTCTTGACCTCTCTCTTAGCCCTGCAATGAACAGAATTTGGTGTCATTTTGCCCTTCCTAACTGGTCTGTTACTGTTCCATCTGCACTACAGCGTTTTCTGGATATTTTCTGCCTTTCCATTTTGGTAGGAGCAGTCTCCCCACTGGATGCTTTGCCATCTCCCATCCTGCTTTTCCAAGGGCTGAATTTATTGGTTTTCTCCAGCTCAAGAAGAGCTTGGTTCGTTCTGTTTCTCTCTGATTTCTTGTGAGGGAAGCACTGGGCACCAGTGACAAGGCAGAGCACGTGTGTCGAACGATCCAGGAATTTAATTTTGTAGGAATTTAATTACCATGGATTGTGCTCTGCTTATCTCCTATCATACACTCTGCTGCTGCTTAATGACTTCGTTAAGCACACACACAAACCTCGTGTGCCGCGTTCTGTCTTCTCTGTGGATGTTTTGAAGTGTTTGGCCATGTCTGCATGGATCTTCATCAGGCTCCACGGAATCCCAGAACAGTTTGGGTTKSAAAGACCTTAAAAACCATCTCCAAAATGCTTTTGGAGTCATTTGGCCACTGATGGATGTCACCGAGCCTCGCTCAGCTGCAGTTCCCAGGTTTCTGTGGCTTTYCCTGGCTGTGAAATTCTGAGGGCTCAGTGCTGAGCTGTTCCTTGCCCTCTGAGGTGCACAAGAACCCCTCTGTGTGACTCTGTTCTTGTTGGGGACCCCTTGATGGAAATGCTCCATCTCCAGAACTGGTTCATTCCCGCGTGCAGGAAAGGAGCAAACTCCCATAAATCCCACAGGGATGGATTATTTCCTACAGTGACCCACCTCTCTGTGTGTGTTTCAGTGCTTTTTGGRCAGTGTTTCCTTTTCCTTCTAACTTCCCCAGGATAATGAAAATTTTCAAGTTGAGCTTAATTATGACCTGAAGCTTCTGTCAGCGAGCYGGAGCCTGAACCCGCCACGTGGTTATTTCCTGCTGTGGAAGCAGCAGTGAGGTTTCTTTAGGGAGGTGAGAGAGCCTTGTGGTTTTGCCCTGGGGAAAATAACATGCCTGAGCTATCCAGGGCTGGAAACCACAAAAAATACYGAGGATTTGAGCTGTCTGATGGAGMCAGTGTTTGGGAAACCAGCCCTCTCCTCCTGCCTGGAGTTGACCTCTTCATGCTTCTCTCATGTGACGCGGAGCTCTCGGCTGTGGTTTTACCTCAAGAGACTTCTTGTTCATTAATTACTGCAAGGTAAAAGCAGAGAGAGGCTTTGCTTCCTCCCACACCTAATTTATCCCTTTTAGAAGCGAGTAAAAGCTTGTGCAGCTGCCTCGTGGAGCATCCTCGGGTTGCTTCCCACGTCCCAAAATATCGTTGGAAATTYGTAACGTCAGCCACTGTGGTTGTGGGGATTTTCTTGGAAAACTCCGCCCTGWGGTCCCTTTCTCTGAGCTTTGGAGAGGACAGGGGTGATCTTTGCATCCAGGATTTTTTTCTGTTCCATCSCGCAGGACACAGAATTTGCTCCTAAGCTGGATGTTCCTTTGAGCAGGGAATTACTTGTGTACAGCCTGGAAGAATAAATAAACCACCGTGACTGGTTTATTACCAGAAAACAACACTAAATAATAAATTCCAGAACTAAAAGCTCTATATGTAAAGTAGATTTYGCAATGCATTATGCAAGAAACAGAAAGGCGCCGGAGAAGGAAAAAGGCAGGCTGGGAAGATGGATGATCCTGAGGRCAGGACGAGGAGATGTGGAGAGAATCCCAAGCTGGCACGGCTTCCCCAGTGACCTTGGGCAGGTTGTTTCTGCACATCTCCATTCCTGCTCCCTGCAAAGGGGTTGTGGTTCTCCTGTCTTCAGGATTCGGTCAGATGAGTGTTGGTGAACACCAGGAGCGGCACAGCCCCCAAGGGGCTCTGAGCGGGGGTACCTATGGGCACCCAGGGGAGAGATCTTGGTGTTTTCTCAGCGCTGAGCATCTCCTGGAGCCTGACCTTGTCCCTGTGCCCAGGAGAAAAGACAAA